GCTGAACAACCCCACCTCTCTCAGCCTGTCCTCATAGGAGAGGTGCTCCAGCCCTCAGATCATTTTAGTAGCCCTCCTCTGGAAAATCAACAGAAAGATTATGTGCTCTGAAAAAAAGTCTTGACTCACTCCCCTCCAATAACTTCTGAAAGACTGGGTACCACATAGAAGGTCACATTTCAAAGTCTTTCCATATTTCTCAGGTTTATTACTTTTTTTTTTTCCTTAAAGACCTATTTAAATGCTTGAACACCTGGAAGAAAAAACCTATTTAGGAGCATTAAGCATTTTTTTAGGGCTATGACTCAATAAATGCATTACAGGATCATCTGCAATACACTTAGGGTGGACCTACAGAGAGACATCAGGCTGATTTGTTACAAGCATGACTTAATATGCTGCTAGGAGGTGGTTTTTTGGTCATATAGAAGTATGAAGAGTAATTTAAAATAATTTACAGGTAGAAGGACAGACAAATCAGGTATGTGTCAATTAACACTATGCTCTCAGGTTTTGAGAAGTGCATAGTTTTTCTATTTTGCACAAGTTCATCACTAAGTCTGGGCATTTATGTCCTTAGTCCATTTATCTAAAACCAGAAACCAGTTAGCCTACCGCCTGCTTTCATGGTTTTCAACCAGCCTCTGGCACAATTAAGTGGCACTACCATACAACCAGATAATTAGCCAAGAGGTCAGCAAGAAGGCCTTCCAAAAGCAAGAACAGTGATAATATCTAGAAAGAAGAGAAATATCTGTTTCAGCATTTGCATTATCAGGTTTGTACTAAACAGTGACAAAGCAAAATGGAGGGGAAAAAAAATTAAATAAAAGGATAGAAAGAGGTGGGTGGAAAGTCCCAAAGGTTAGCTTGAGAGGCTAATCTTCCTGCACTCCCTCCAGCCAAAGAACAGGAAAAACTTCTGTTCCTAACTCTCTCCTAGGTGAAGCTTCCCACAGCCTTTAAGAAACCCTCCCAGAAGTGTTTACCAGAACAATTTATAAGAATAGAAATAAAGTACAGGGAAATCAAGAAGAGGTCAACTTCTCTGCTGAGACCGAAAATAAACACAGAATTTCAAACAGCATCTACTAAGGGAAGAAAACAAAACAACAAAAAAACCAAAAAAAACCTAAGGTCATGTTTTAGAGGTATTTAACATCTTGCCACAGAAATGACTAGTGCAGCCTCTTGTGCCTGAGGGGTCCTGAGTGTGTTCCAAGTCATAATCAAAGCAAATGTGGTAATGAGTTGGTAGAAAGACTGCATTACAGCTCTGATTACTGTCAGCTTTTAGAACTTACTGTCCTATTACCACAGACATTAAACAGGTTGATGGGAAGAAGAGACAGACCCCAACATGGCTAATGCCTCCAGAGTTGTCAGCTGAAAGTTTAGCTCTTCAACGATTAACGTTATGTTTTATACTCCAACTAGATGAGACCAGAACTCTTTTTCTCTGAGTTCTTGCTAAATTACTTCCCATCAGTGCTAATTTTCTGAAAAAAAAAAAGTTCAGCAACCATGCATTCCATGCTGCTGACATATTTCCATTAAGAATGTTTACCATATACTCCTCTGCACCCACTCGGTACCTTGGAAAGCAGCAGCATGGAAACCCACTCCCCACAACCTGATGACACCATGCAAACTAGTAGCTGATCTGCAACAGGATCCACAAAACTTCTAATGTACCACCGTGCACTTAAGCTTTCCACTTGTTTGCTTTTTAAAGACGGACCACGTAACTGAGAGAGTCCTCATTCTGATGGTAACACAGGTCTGAAGTTAGCTTTGCTGTTGATGGCAACACTAGGAATAAGACAACCAAATCTGTTTTCACACTTCTGTGGCACAGAAAGGGCTGAGAAAAAGCTGCTTTGAAATGAACTTTAGATTGTGAGCTAAAAAACTGATATATACGAGCATATATGGATGGATTTCCAAACTTGTTTTTGTGAAATTTTTTTTTTGTAAATAAAGCAAAACTATTTTTTAGTGTTCATATTTAAACAATGCAAAAACCAGAACAGACAAGTACAAAAATGCTTAGGAGCACGGTTTAGTAGCAGACAGATATGCTTGGACCCAATGATCTTAAAGGTCTTTCCCAACCAAATGATTCTCTGATTCTGTGTAAAAGCTAGAATTCTGGGAAATACAAGCAGCTTTCTCTTCTTGTACAAAAAACGAAAAGCCAGTAGAACAACAAAACACAGATGCAAACAAGAAAAACATTAAATGTTATTTTCAAAGGACAAATTGCAATCTTAAAGCATCTCCTCAAAAATTCTCAATATAAATAATGGACTTTTATTGTTCATTTACTGCAAGGTTAGGCAGCCTGATATGATGGATGAACTGTCAACCCCGAACTAAACTTCTACAATCCATCATAGAAAGAGTGGAAATTTCACTCAAAGTGTCAATAAACCTAAATGATGAAGTGCAAAATACTTTACAGAGTTCTGATCATTTTTTAGAACCTGCATTCACTGCAGAATTTCAGAAACACTGCTCTTCCCACACTTCCCTCCCCTTCTCCCTTGAAGTCATAAAATGCAGGTGTACATCTTGATTTATAAGTCAATGATACCATAGGATCACAGAACAGAAACGAAGTTTTTGTAAAGGTCTAGTGCTAGGGAAAATGACGTTTATAAAATAAGCTATTTTACTCTATGCAAACATAAAAAAGATCACCAGGATTTTGTAGAGATTTCTGTTTAACTAATCAGTTATTCAAAAGTGGCCACATTAAGAAAATTAATCCAGGGCTGCACTGGAGCTTGGTCTGAGATCAAAGCTGACCCTGCCCCGAGGCAACTAGAATTATTCTATGATTCTATGACAACTAAAAACAGGAGATTTATTTTTTTTTTTTGAATGCACAATAAAATATTTTATTTCCATTTAATAAAACTCAAGAGGTTACTGTGTCTTTACTTAGTTTGGTGATAATTGACAAATGATTATGAAATATTTGTACATAGCTACTTACACTAATAACAATGCTTCAACTTATTAATGTGGGAAAACTTTGCTTTGGAACACCAACAAATTCTTATGCATCCTGTTATACAACAGAAGCGGTGGCAAATACAGCAGTGTGAACTAACATGCAGACCCATCCAAAAATAGGTATTACGTTGACATAGGTGTCCAAGATTTTGTTATCAGCTTAAGTGGTTACATTATACAGCAACATAATCTTTGTGTCCGTATTAGAGGAAGCCCACATCTCTTCTTCACATACACATGCAAAAGCCAAATAAACCAGCCGTAGCAGATGTATCACAATATATTAAAAATTAGCTACCAATTATCCCTTTGGACTTAATGCTGTGATGTGCTGTGAACTAAAGCTAAGCACGAAACTCCTAGCAGAAGTATCACAATACACTAGACTACAAAAATTTTAGTTTTTATTACATATTTCAGAGCCTAACACAAACTTTTGTCAAATTTCATGAGGGTATTTTATAAATTGGTAGAAAGCATTTATAATTGTTGAATGTAAAAGCATATCACTTCAATCATAAAATCTGTAAAAAACAGGTCATCCTGCCTTTGCTTACCATTTAACATTTAAAAACTCAATGCATTACTTTAAGCCACCACCAGACTCTCTCATCTGTACCTCATCTTTATCCCAGCTGCCCTGCCTAAAGGTAATACTGCAAGTATCTTTCTATTTGATTCTTTTCTTCCTCTGCTCCAACAAAGAAAGCAAGCTGGGCATCATAACTGAGTCATCTCAAAAAGGTATCCTCACATAGGTACCTATCTTAACACTTCTTAATATTTGTGTTGGAATACCTGATTTGTTTTACCTTTAAACACATTCATATCATCTTTATTTCAGAAATCACTCACACCCTTACATGAAGTATGTTCAACATAAATGTTTAGGTATCTTCCTTGACTTACGCTTCAAAAATGGAATGCAAAGCACACACCATAAATAACATGGGCCCTTGCAGAAAAAAATAGGGGACATTTTTCATTAGTCCAAAAATCAATGTTGTGCTGTTTTCTCATAAATACCAGATACCGAATGACCAAGAAAAATGCTGCAAAATTAATGTGTATTTATGTAAATTCATACTGAACCATGTGGGCACAATTTCAAAGTGTTAGAAAGATGCCCTAGTACCGAGTTTTCATTTAATTCTAAAGCTCAGACTGAAAACTTTTTTTTTTTCCCTTTTCTTTCTTTTCATATTGATTAGTGTTTGATAGACAAATAATACTCAATTGAGGCAGGTCACAGACTCAGATATGCTGGAGATTCTCCACTGAATTTAATGCAGCATAGTCTCTAACACTAAGATGAAAAGGTTCTGTTTGCTGTAATTAGAACTCACCGCCAATCAAATCCCACAGCATTTCTAGAATTAGTATTCTTTTGAATAAGTCATATTAATTTACATAAAGTGAAAATACTAACTTGCATACAATAAATAAAACAGATGCAGTAAAAACCCGGGTTATCAGATTGATTCTAATGCTGTATTTGTTTCCCCTCAGGCTTCACACGTAAAGTCTATTAACTTCCCTGTTTGAGAAACTGTGTTTGCCGTATCAGCTGCTATATGTTCATTGCATGAGCTATAGTTTACCTTCCCCATAGCTATTTTGATTTTCACTCTTTTTACAAAACTCATAAAAGCTCTTATGAGAAGAGTAACTGCATCATTCTTGAGCACAGTGATAACATGTCTGAACAGAAAACTTTTTTTCAGAAAATGGTCTAGAAAACAAAACAGAACAACCCCAATGCCAATGCTCCCCATCTTTCTTTCCTTATCTACCTGTATTATACCATAACACTATAACTCGAGTTTTACATCCATCTCTTTACAAAAGGGCTCATTGACACCTCTGTACTGCAGAACAGAATGTTTCAAGGCAAGGTCTGATGACAAATGAAGCTTAATTAATGCACTATTAGTCCCATGCGATAATGACCATACATGAAGAAAGGAAAATTGTCTTACCGTACACTTTGTGCTTGTCGTAATGGTCAGGGTGAAATCTGAAGAGAATTCTAAGTCTGTAGTGGAGGCAGTATTACAGTCGATACACTGTCGAAAGGAATAATACAATTTTGTCAGTAACAGGGCTGAATTTAATTTAAGATCTTCCTTTGGATGAAAGTTTGTTAGCTGCTCCCATAAGACAACAACTTTTCTAGGGCAATACTAATTCACCTCTCCAAAAATGGGAAGAGACTTAACCACTTAATCCTATCTGCACACTGACAAAACACCTAAAATCAATCTTCCCCAAATGCCATAAAAACCAGCCACTTTGACTAGTAGTGGTATGGAACTACATATAGTAGCTCCATCTGCTCAAAAAAGTTGCTCATGATGACAGCTGCCCATTGTTGAGATTAAGTAACTTTCACAGGCATCTTCACTTGTTTTACTCCTTGTTCATGTAGCTACAAGATAAATTACAGTATGAAAACAATATGGGTTAAAACTCAGCTTTTTTGTTTCGCCAGGTTAGTTTTGTATTGCTCATAGAATAAATGGGGCTGAAAGGGACCTCTGGAAATCACTTAGTCCAACCCTATGCTCAAAGCAGGGTCAACTAAAGCATGTTGCTCACAAACCACCTTCGGATAGCTTCTGAATATCTTCAAGGGCAGAGACGCCACAACCTCTCCAGGCAACCCGTGCCGCTGTTCAATTGCCCTCACAGTAAAAAAAAAAAAAAAAAGTGTTTCCTGATCTTTAAAGGCAACTGCCTGGAGTTCAGTCTGTGCCCATTGCTTCTTGTCCTGCCCCTGAGCACCACTGAGAAGAGTTTGGCTCCACCACCTTCACGCCCCACCACCACCGCCCATTTGTACACACTGATGAGGTCTTCCCCGAGCCTTCCCTTCTCCACACAAAACAACCCCGGCTCTTTCAGGCCCTCCCTGTATCACAGATGCTCCAGCCCCTTCATTGGTTGGCTTCCTTTGCCACAGGGGTGTGCGTTGCTGGCTCGTGGTCAACTTGGTGTTGACCAGCACCCCCAAATTCTTCTCTGCAAAGCTGCTTTCCAGCCAGTAGGACCCCAGCCTCTGGTGATGCATGGGCTTATTCTTCCTTCCCCTCTGCAGGATTTCACATTGCCCTTTGATTGCCCCAAGCCCTTCGCACAGGACCCCCATTGGCCCGTTTCTCCAGCCTACCTAGGTCCTTCTGAATGGCAGCATAACCATGTGGTGTATCAGTATGCGACATTTCAGAGTGACAGAACAGAGGAGAAAAAGCACACAAGGCGGAGAACTACTTCACTATTTTGAAATTAACACAACCACATCCAGGATAACAACAATAACATGGTCAAATCAAATTGCGTTTCAGTATTTTAGCTTTTTATTTAGAAATATGTATATTGATAAAATCAGTTTTTAAAAGAGCAATAAGCTTCAGTTTCCAGTTGTTCGTAAGAAGTCCCCCACATTTTTTCACTATGTGAAGTTTTTCAGTTTACATACTCAGTTAAAATGCTTTATCCAAGAATGGCGTATGCTGTTGAAGTTAAATGTCATATACATTATTAATCAGTATTTCTTGATGCTGCCTTCTCTTTTTTAGGGAGTGTTCTGCTTCCTCAAAAGTTAATTTATAAACTATACAAAACAGACAGTAGCTAATCTGAGCAAACATGCTCAGTAAAAAAAAAAGTATCTTTTGTAGCAGTCATATGATAAATTGGAGCATTTTTAAGCTTTCCCTCAAAAATTAATCCATTTGTTTTGTGGAATGGCTATTGATTAAAACAATTTACCTGTAATGCCACTGTTGCTCACTCATTAATTTTACTACTTAGTACTATGACTCCAGCAAATGAGCTCAAGCTTCGACTTTAGGTTATTTTAAAAACCAGGATTGCTACTGAGAATAAGTGAGTGTAAAAGCATTAAGCGCAAGTTATACGAAATGGTGCCTGGTAATAAAATTTGCTAAAAACATACACCTGAGCTGGACAGTGACTGCTCATGACAGTATATATCAGAAAGGGACATGTACTATTACCAGTAAAACATTTTGCTTCTAAAACAACAGCAACTTATAGACTGCATTGGGCTCATTTAACTAGAGTTATTGTTATCAACACTTTCCAGGTTAAGATGTGGGTTTAATTTATTTGTTTGCCTAACAAACTGATAGAGCTCAACTTATCCACGCAGCTGTTGATTATAGAGCACATCATATGTTCTTCATTTTCTGTACACCAAACTTGACCTATGTGCAAGAAGTATTCAACCACACTTCCACTTCAATCAGAAGATGCAAAATGTTATAATATAAGGCAGGTGAGAGAAGTGCCTATGCCTCACTCATTGCACCATCAAACCCGTCAGATGGCTAACAACTACGGCCTCAGATTCTTGACCTCAATACCCCTGGTTTGTGCACATTCATTCACTAAGGGTGGAATTTATCTTCCCTAAAATGACAGGTCTAGAAAGTATATTTCAACAACTGCATTAGCCACTCTACCCTCTCCTTCCTCTCAAGGAAAACAGACCCTTGTAAGCCTCAAGTTGCACAACTTACTATAGGTATCCTTAGGAATTTTATTTCACTGACTCTAGAGGGAGTCTAGTCAAGAAGCTCAGAGAATAAAATGTAAGAGACATTTTTAATGACTTCATTGTCAATGAATAAAGAATCCTGAAGTGGAAAAAAAAAGAAAAAAAGACGACAGTAGAGATGCACAAGAAGGCTGAAGTAGTTATTCAAGTTAAAGAAATATCAGTCTCAGCGCTTCTTATATTTGAATACTGTATTTAAAAAACTTCATACTTTTAAATCTTCTCTGTAATAAAATTACACACAAGAAAAGCTTAAACAATAACTTGCATCACTTAAAACAAAATTGTACTTCACCTGTTGCTGCTTTTGTGGGCAGAATGACAACTGACCACAGCAAGCAGTTTCCATGCTGGAAGAGACTGGAACTACCCTCAGTAACAGTGTCAAGTTCAGAGATGCACTATGTAAACCCATTTTCTTCCACATAAAGTAGGATAGGAATGCATTTAAATATAAATTACCTCTTTACTAAAAAGGCAATTCCCACTGAAGGGCAGTAATATTACTGCCTTAAGTGTTTCACAAAGGAAAAGTAACTATATGAACAATAATTAGAATACTGTTGTGACAAAAAAACCTTGATTTATAATAGTCCTTCTCCAAATCTGATCTGAATTGTTCAAATTATTACTAATTACAAAGTGCATCAGAACTTCAAACTAGTCAGTGTTCTGGAATTACATCTCGTCATGTAGGTAGCTCTCTCATATCAATTGCTACCAACTTTGCTGCTATTCCCCATCACAAAGCTGCCATAAAAAAGACAATATAGAGAAGTAAGCACAAAATTAATTCCATGAGTACTGCAGAAACTACTGTTGCCTTTTCAGACATGGTCATTCTGTTGGATGAAGCTATGGGCAATAGTGAGTGATCCTCTAATGAAAAAAATCTTTAAAGCCAGCAAGCTTGACACAGAAATAACTAAGAAGCCCCCCTGCAACTCATACACTGATAGACATGAAGAGGGAAGTGAAACAGAAGACTGTCTGTTCCGGGGAGGGGTTGTATAGTTCCCATTGCAGTTACATAACTTGTAACTTACTAAAATGCAAGGACATTTGGGGTTGGATAGAAGAAAATGTAGAACAGAACAATCTAAATATGGTAAGATTAGTTTATTAAGAACTCAAACTTGGTTAAAAAAACCAATTAATCAAAGTCTTACAGTCTTAACAAAAAGGACCTTATTGCATTTGTATCATTTTGAAGATGCCAAAGTTCGTGTGTGCTTGTGTGTGTATTTTCCGCCCCCCCCCACCCCCCCCAAAAAAAAAAAAAAAAAAAAGAAACTTCTAGTCTGACTACTAAAAATTTAAGATGTATGGTACCTTAATGACAGTGGCTGTAGATATCAGTGTGTTTGGATCCAGCACCTCCACAACAGCTTCTGGAATTACAGCTTTCTTCATGCAAGACATGTCAAAGCCATACACATCTTCCCAGAAAAGTAACTTGTCTGCATGTTTATTCATATCCCCAACAGCTACTAGACTGATGGTGCAAATGTCAGGATAAACTGCAAAACCAGAAACAGATTATTGAAATTTTATTTTAGACATGCATAAAGAGGACTTTTTTTTTTTTTCTTTTCTCTTTAAGTGAGAACATCTTAAAAGAACAAGTAAAATCACTTTTTTCAGCTCTTGGACAAGACAGTTTTTCTGATACTTTATTCTCTGGAGTCCCATTTGTCCACAGAAGAGACTAGATATTGGAACTTAACTGTCCCACACTACTCTGGTCTCTGGTAACAGTATTTCCTATTCATGACAAAATATCATTGTAGTTGAATCCCACTGCCAGGAAATGACTGGAAACTTGATTGCTGAAGAAAATAACTTGGAACATCCTATTCTGGCTTCTATACAAAAACTGACCTCCAATGTATTTAACTTTAGACAGACAACCATAGGAAAATTCAGGTGAGGGCTTTGCAGTAAGAAGAAACCTATGTGAAAAGACCTTATTTCCAAAAAAAAGCAAGTATTCTTACTCAAGAGTTTTATTCCTGCTTCTTATCAGCTCTGGCTGGTACTTGTCTTACAACTTTTTCTGGGAACTGGAAATGAATAACCATTCTTCTATCTGCATCTGAAGAGTATGGAAGTTACCCAACGGACAGAAGAGAACTTCCTCATCAATTCCCTCCCCCCCCCAGTTTTAGGCTAACAGCTATTGTTCTTACACTATCTTCACATTTGGGCTTTCTCTGCTCTCAAGAATATCTTCAGAACAAGTACCTATTTACAGGTTTTCCAAATAGTAGTGGAAGACTGACATTTGCCTTTTTAACAGCTGTCTACAGCAACGTCAATCTCTTGGCAATCTCTACCCACTACTGATTGGAAAAGACACAAAGAACAGCTGCTATGAACGCGGCTGTCATAGCACTATCCAAGTTCAATTTATATGTAGCTGTATTTCCACAAAGAAATTCCCATGGTTTTAGAGTTTTAAAGCCTTGAAAGCCACATACCTTGAACTTTTGATGTGGCTTCTGAGCAACATCCCTAGTAATAAACACCTTATTTTATTTTTTTATTGATACATAAATGTGGCAGTGTTAATAAAACTGAAGCGAAGTTTCTCTCTTCCTCCCCAAGACCTGATGAACTGTAAAATTAATTCTGTTTTCAGCTCTGCTTGAAATTGTAGCTTATTAAAATGAGTATGGAGAAATCATTGGAATAAGCATGGCAACTCGGAAAAGCAAGATTTTTTGCCTTGTAAAATACTGAAGATAGAAACAGCAAATTGAAATTAGACCTTTTATATAGCGAGAGGAGATTTAGCCTAAAGGAAATAATCTTATACATATTGATGATAAAGAAGAGTCTTCTCTAAAGAGGCTTTTTTTTTATGAAGATACTAAAGTAACCAACTACCTCTGTATTTGGAATGACTAGCTAATATAATCATGAACACACTGTCATTTTTCTCACTTTCTGACTATTTAAAACAGAGTAAGTATCAGGAAGCTTAACTGGAATCCCACTGCTAATTTATCATCATCCCTACTTTGCAGATGAGGAACTCAAAGCAGAAGGTTTCTCCGGGAGCAGCCTACAGCTAACTCAGCAGTAAAAGGGCAGTTTGATGAGAATTGAACCAGGAAGGTGCGCAGACTGTCTGGTCTGAAACAAATTATTTGGTTCCAACACACCTGACAGCTGTCACACACACACACACAAATCAGCATCTGGTGGCTGGAGTATTGCAAGTCTGGAGCCATCAGTACGGGATTTTACTTTCTCAAAGCTTCTTTACCTCCCAGCATTTCAAGCCTTCAAGAGCCACCACTGATGCTCCAAAAATTAAAAGAAAGTGTGAAACAGACAACAAAAGCAAGTGACTACAGCCTTTGAAGGAATATTTTTCAGGGCAATGCTCTACATAGGATGCAAGGGGTATTGCAAGAAAAGGGTTGAAAAGAGACTGAGAGTCCCTAGGCACAGAATACACTTACAAGACTGTTCTAGCAACACTGCAAACGAAAAGGAAAACCAGAGCACAAAGCAATCAACTACTTTATAGCCTTCCTTCCTCCGACTAGGCCACATTTTTCGGACGTTCTGTTAACAGAAAAAAGTTTACCATGTCAATCAAGCATGAGATACTTAAGTGGGACCATAATCAGTTTTTATTAAATCTCTTTGTCCACACAGCAAACCCTTAAATCAGCAGCGGAACTCATGATCGATTATATAAAGTGCTTAGAGCAAGCAAAAATGTAAATACTAATGCTCCCACCTAATCTGCATTTTTAGTTTAGCCTATCAATAGCAACAAGAAGGTAGACTATGCCTGTTCAGACATCACAAAAAGAAATCTGTGTTCCACCAACAGGGCAGAGGAAAAAGACCACAGCAATACATCAACTTCCAAATTTATAAACCCACCCATGTCCAGAAGCATATTATACACTGAAGTTTGACTAGAAACAGCAGCATGTTGTCTAAATATCAGCCTAACTCATCTAAACACTGTAGAGTTTTGTAAATGTTTAAAAGCATCTTCGTAAAATTGCATTTGCCATTTCACCCGTTATCCTCCATCCCTCTGGAAATCCTCTGCTCTTTCTGCAACCCTGTAGTGCTTCCCTGTGCAATCCTGACAGACTTGTAATTTTTTTCTGATTAAGCCTATAATTCAATAATTATCCCTTCTCACAGGTGAAATGAACAAAATGCTGATTGGACAAAAGCACATACTCCTCAATACTCTCTCAGATTCATCGTTTTGACCATCTGTGTCCTTCTCGACTCAGCGCCCAGAAGTCATCTGTCACCAGTAACAGCTCACGTGGTAAACAGAACATGATGGGAAATCCTTTATCCCTCAGTGATGCCTCTCAAACCTCAGGACGCTGAAGGGTAAAGGCAGCAATCCTCCAGATATACGGAAATAATTCCAAGTGAGTACCATCACCATTTTGACGTGAACAAGCAAACGGTATTACGTTTTGAATGATGCCTTCCTTACCTACGTCACCCCTCACCAACGCGCACTGCACTCGAATACATGCAAAAATCTATATGCAATCAAGTAACAACTCTAAAGAACAAGCAGATGGGTCCTTGGCAGCAAGAATTTTATGTTCCCTAATAAAGCTATTATATACTGTACACATTACCCTAGAGAGTTTGGCATAATCCACTCCAGCATGCCAATAGGCTAAATTGAAGTAACAACGATATGACTGACTGAACACAAATCTAGAAATTTGGATTCTATTCTCGGCTCAATCACTGAAAGATTTTGCCAAACTGCAGCTGCTTCTATTGCTTTTTTCAGCTTTCAAGCAGTCCCTGTAATAATGATCTTGGGCTCAATAGTACAAAGTGGCTTGAGGCAAAAATCAAGCTTTATGGCAGATTCAGGAGATTTTCCCTGGTAAGACTTCTCCTCAGAATGAGTTTTGGCTCATCTGAATCTGGATGTGCCCGCAGTTCTGCTGCTATTCGTTTACACCGCAGAAGTGTCACAGATCTTAGGCACAGCGATTTACCTGCTACACAAGCTTGCAGAAAAACAGTAATTGTAAGCATCTTAAGGAAACAGCATTCCATTTAAAATGTGGTCATACCAATCGGCGACTGTACAATACTGTAAGTTTTGTGAAGAGTCAAGTAAGGGCCCAAGACCATTCTCAGACCACAGACGATAAATGTACTGCAGAACCAGCATACCTTGTCTCTCAATGGAAATTTTGGGAAGCACAAGGTATTAGCAAACTTATCAACAACACAAATAGAGAACAAGACACTAGCGCAGCTTCAACAGAGGTCAAAAATTTCTGGCCCTTTTCAGAAGGCTTTCAAAGTAGTAGCTAAACATAAAATGATCCCTTACAATTTTAGGGGATGCCCCCAAATTTTATTATATTGCAGTGTAAAATTATCAGCATGTATCTATACACCACAACTGTGTTCCAGATCTGGCTGAACTATTCTACATTACTGAAAACCGAAAAGCTCTTATTCTGTCATGTTGCTCAAGCGGCTCCTAAATATTTTAACACATAAACAGTAATCTCTTGCTTGTATATTCTGCTTTGTGCCCAAAGGTTGAACAACTGCATAAACCCCCTTTTTTCTGCTGCGCTCTGTAGCGTACAAAAGCTTGCTGCAATCAAAGGGAAGCACTGCAGCGAGTAGTGTTACACAGTCATTAATCCAATCATTAAGTCAGTGTAGTGAAACTAACTATGTGCATGGTTAGCACAAAAGGGGAAAAAAACCCCAGACTGATGACTACGATTGAAAAGGTCAATCTGAAATACAATACTGACAAAGGAATTAAGCACAAGGAATAAAGCATATGCAGAACTTGTGCAGAAAACTGCATCACATGAGGAATAAATATTTACAGGCGTTTAAACACTGCTTAAGATGACACTATCTAAGCTACTTAAAAGGATAAAAGAACTCTACTTCAAAATAAAACCT